ACTATTTCAGAACCCAAGGACTCTTAATTGAGATGAGACACGAGATCCAATGCTTGAGTTGATGTAAGAATCACTTTGATTCTTCAGATTTAACTAGCATTTGATAGAGCAGCGTGGAAGAGTATGGTTGGTGCAGTAACCCCAAATAAGCCCCTGTTCGATGGCATTATTGAGAAAAAAATGATATTTTGAATAGTAATTTTTTGGAGAACATGTCGTTAAAAAGTAAGAAAAGATTTTGGGTTTATGTGCAAAATATTTTAATGAATAAAACTTAAAAACAATCCATTAAATAATTTTTGATATTAGATGTTATTTTGTAGCTCAAAATAATTTCTTATTCATTTCTGATGCAGTGTGAGGACTCTACTGAATGTTAATTTATGAATGGATTGATGAATGAGAAAGAAAAAATAATAATTTTTTACATGAAAAATAGAAATTGAATTTTTGGAGAATAAAAAAGTTATTTTAAAAACTGGAATCTAATACAAATCGTGTGAATTTTTTTTTCGATTGTGGATATTTTAGTCTATTTAACTATTTAATGGCAAATTTGTAATTTTTTTAGGATAAGTTGTTTTTTGACACCATACTGTAATATATAAAATGTAAATACACCCTAAACAAAGGGGTGCGTTTTGTAAATTTCCCTTTAGAACGGCATGGGAGTGAGGAGAATCACTGTATAGGGGAAAAATATGATTCCCCCTACTGAAAATGCCAATTGTGTCAGAAATGGAAGAACTTTTAACAAAAATTTACCTGAGGAGAAGCAACGATTGTCTAAAGTAGAGAACCCCTTTGGCTGCATCAGACTCAAGCATCTGATAAATTACAGAGAGCGATCCAATATCATCAACTACAGACCATCTATCATATAACTGCAGCCAACAATCAGCTGTTGTCCAATTTTCGACATGCTCACGGATGAGAGTACGGAACTGGGACGCTGCTACCCGTCCATCGAACATTCGATAATCTGGAGAAAGTGTAAGAATCACCTGAACATCACACATAGCAGATTGGTATTCCTCAAGTATAAGATAGAAACAAAAACGCAGTTCCAAGCACTCTAATGCTAGTTTGAAACCAAGAATCCGATTGATTTCTGCAAGGGCAGCTTGAACATTTTGTTTTCTCACCGAGGATGCCGCTCGATACATGTATGGGTAAGTCAGTGTCGGATCTAGCTCTGTTGCTTTATCGAGATCTTCCAACCTCTTAACATCCTGACAGTACAATGACCTCTCTTGGTACATCCATCCGAGCGGAGTATAAGAGGAAATGATATTGCTGAGTTTTTCATAAGACCAATCTTTATGACCCTTGATTTGACTTAATCTAGCTACGCCAACAACAGAATAAACATGACCTTCATTCAAAGCCACCTCAAATAGCTGTTCTGCTTCATCATACTCTTTTCTTAAGAATCTAATACATCCCAACTGATGATAGGCAATCATTTTCTGCTGGTTGGTTTCAGCACAGTCCACTAACTGCTTCGAGAAAAGAACTGCTTTATCTGAACGTGGATTATCATTAATGGCAACTTCACTTAATAAAGAGTAGAGAGCAAAGGATGCCGGCCCAACCATTATTGACCTTTTTTGCCTATCTACACTTCTTAGAAGTTCAACAACCTGACTGTCATTCAGAGAGTCGGAAAGTTCATGTAGAAACACTTGCAAACATGATGCAGCAAGGACACGGGAATTCTCTTCAAGAGCACATTCCATGAGTTCCACTGGTAGAACAGATCTCCTTTGGTTTCTGGCAAGTTTCCTATCACAAGCATCCTTAAGGCTTTCGCAGCAAAATCTGTTGGCAAATACCAATATTTCTAGCAAAAGATTGGGTTGAACCTCATTCAAACTACCTGTTATGCTGAAATCACTGATCACTCTCATCCCTGAAGGGGAAATGCTATTTTCAGACAGATCAATGTCCTCACAAAATGATTCCATGAAACAGCCATTAAGCATGGCATGAAATGGAACCGAAAGGCATGCAATTTTCTGCCTGTCACATGATATTTTCTCATCTCCAATTATGAAACAAACAATTCTCGAAATATTATTCCCATCTGACGTATTAGTTCCACAAGAGACTATATTTTCATTGGCGAGGAACCCCGAGGCAATGTCTATAATCTCAAACTCCTTAGCACATTCACCACAAGATGATAACAAATCAGATACAATTTCACCTTGCTTCTCATATTTCAACCATGACCCAAAAATGAGCTTCTCATAAACAGTGCTTGCTTTCAGCCAAGCCGAACGAAGGCTCCTTCGCATCAATTTGGCTTCTCCGAGGCCCTTAAAGACATGATACTGTAACAAGTAAAGATTTGACCTCTTCTCAGGAGGACACGACTCAAGTTATTCATGAATTTGAGCTAAAACTTCTATATAATCAACAGGTTTAAATAATGGAAGCATTGGAGGGTCAGGGACCTTCACAAGAGATTCTCTACAAACATCCCAAAATATTATTGGATAATTAATCACATGAAAGTGTAAGCAAAATTTAACTGGTTCAACTATAGAGACAGATACTTACATGGAAGATGAAGACTGAGATGCAAATTTGGAAAGCTTGCCTCTTTCAACTTGGAGCCATGACTGTAGATTAACGGCACTTACATGTGTTTCTTTACAAGACTCAGATGGAAAAAATGTCCTCATGGGACATAACAAATGAAACAACTCCCAGATCTCCACAGTAGCAAGATGGATTCTTTTCTCCAAAAAATAAAAATATAGGAGAAGAATTAAACATAAATAAGAAAACAAAACAATGACTACTCAAACTAACAACAATTATAGTAAGGTAAATGAGAAGAATTAAACATAAATAAGAAAAAACAATGACTCCTCAAACTAACAACAATTATAGTAAGGTAAACACTCTTCCGAGTTGAATCAATTCACTCAAACAACAGTCAAAATCCCCATTTGGGGGTTCTTTAAATAATCATAATCTGAAATTTTTACACGACAAAAAAGGGTTCTTTGCAACTCACAAAATGGTGAATAGTGGTATTTTTCCAAAAGCTTCAGCTCCTGCCAAGAAAATATAAACTCGAGCCTACAAATAAAAGACAAAAGAGCAGCACTAAAGGCCAAAAAATTACATAAGATCTCCTCTAGAAATGTCAACCAAACCACATTTAAGGCAACGGAATCTCCTAATATTAACTAAAACAAAACAAACCCACTAAACTTTTTGCAATGATAACTGATAAAGCGATAAACTATAAACCAATATCAAGATTGAAGACCGACCCCACTAATTTTTCATCTTGAATTTACAGATCCAAACAGAAAAAAATGAGAAATGAGCTGCAGAGACAGAGATGGGTTGGAATCCAAAGGAAAAATTCAATATTTCACTTTCTTTCAATTGCCTGGTAAAAGGAAAAGGTCCCCCTTTTCCCAAAAACATTTTTTTCCCGTTGGATTAAAAAAAAGACTGCAGGATACTGTTTATTAGAAATCCCCCAACAATCTCGCTAGGTATTAAAATCTACTAATTATTTGATTTTTATACATAAATTTTAACTACACTTCAAATAATCAATAGCACAAATTTTGACACAGACTCACAGTATCAACTTTTAAAATCGTGCATTATTGGGGGATTTTGAATGGACACAAGCGACGTCGTTTTCTACAGGACGTATCAATTCCATGTGTAAAATAATAGAGAAAATTGCATACATGGTCCCTCAATATATTGCTATAGTAACAAATTAGTCACCAACCTTTAAAAATTGTAAGCAAGTTGATTTTCAAATTTTCAATTTACACACGTATATGAGATGTAACTTTTTTATTATGACCAATATGAGTTCGAAGCTTCCTTTGTAATTCTCGAAACTTTTTCATAGGTGGCTTTTTACCATATCTCAGATTAAAGGAAACCTCAAAGTGTGTCAAAAAACTTGTTTGGTAGATATTAAAATCGAATTAAAATTGAAAAACTAATTATTATTGTTGACTTTTATTAAACGAGTGAGACTCAATAACTGCTCTATTTTCAATTTTAATTGGATTAAAATTCCTACCAAACAAGCTGTTTATTATATATCATTCATATCCCAATTCTACTCATTCAGTACCCTTTAAAACTGTTTGACCCTCATTTTTTAAAATTGATTTTTCATCAAATTCATTTTCATTTTCAATTTCACATTCTGCTCGTGTTTGGTTTAGGTAAAAATCAAATAATTAGTAGATTTTAATACAAGTTAATGGAATTGTGATTGAAAAATTGTAAGTCCCGTGAAATGTATGATTAAAATTAATTGTTGATTTTGACTTAAATTTTATTCCATTTTGGTAACTGAATGAAACATAGACTTCATGGAATTCACAACTTTTATCAATTTTCAACCACATATTTTATGAACTTTTATTAAAATCTACTAAAAATATGATTTTTAGCTAAATCGAATAGGGGCTAAGTGTAATTAAAAAAAACTTTTTATTTAAATTTGGCAGAATATGAGTAAGTTATTACAATAATAAAAAGTAACTTCTACTTTTCTTTTCTTTTTGACATTTTTACTAAGAACAAAATATGCTCTAAAAGCTTAGCTCTTATTTGACTGTAATCATTTTCAATCGCACATTCACACAATAAAATATTCTGTAAGTAAACTCAATTTTTTTTTTTTTAGTTTTTAACCATACATTCATAAAAATCACTATTTTAAAATTCTATTTTTCTCAAATAATTCCAAAGGGTTTATTTGAAATGTTTTTTTCCCCTCATTTATTATTATTTGGAAACACGAAATATAAACCACGCATGGGTGTTGAATATAATTAGATCCTCCGAGGGTGGTTGTCTTCCTCACAGTATTCATCAACTTCTCTCCTTTCCCTTTTTATCCATCACTAGTTTTTAACCTCTCCTAAGCCTTTTCTTAACCAGCCTCTAATGGCAGCTTCTGCTGCTATCCCTTAATTTTCTCATTCAAATTCAACGCAATGAGCAGGATGACCTTCTGGAGCTTTTCTTCTGTTCCATTTGTTGGCCTCCTGTCTCTCTTCTTCACTACCGCCGCCGCCGCCCTTCGCCACGGAATTGTCCGTAATGTCCCAGTCTTCCGGGAAGCCCCCGCCTTTCGCAATGGGGAGACTTGCACTGCAGACAGGATTCATGTTGCAATGACTCTTGATGATAATTATCTAAGAGGAACCGTGGCTGCTGTTCAATCGATTCTTCAGCATTCGACGTGCCCGGAAAATGTGTTCTTCCACTTCCTTTGGGTACGACACGAACCCGAGGTGTTTTCAAGCATCAAATCAACCTTCCCTTACCTGAACTTCAAGGTGTACAGGTTTGATACCATTAGGGTTCGTGGGTTAATTTCAAAATCCGTTCGCCAAGCTTTAGACCAATCCCTAAACTATGCAAGAATTTATCTTGCAGATATATTGCCATCCAATGTCAACCGTCTGATCTATCTTGATTCTGATCTTGTAACGGTGGATGACATTGCAAAGCTATGGGATGTAAATTTGAATGAAAAAGTTCTTGCTGCACCTGAATATTGCCATGCAAATTTTACTATCTACTTCACAGAGGCCTTCTGGTCGGATCCCGAGTTAGCGAAAACGTTCCAAGGACGACAACCTTGTTACTTCAACACGGGAGTAATGGTTGTGGATATGGAGAAATGGAGACAAGGAGATTATACTCAGAAAGTTGAGGATTGGATGACAGTTCAAAAGCAAAAGAGAATTTATAGATTGGGTTCTTTGCCACCTTTTTTGCTTGTTTTGGCCGGAAATATTGAGCCCATTGATCATAGATGGAATCAGCATGGATTGGGAGGTGACAATGTTGAAGGAAAATGTAGGAGTATGCATCCTGGACCAATAAGCCTAATGCATTGGAGTGGAAAGGGGAAGCCATGGTTGAGGCTCGACTCAAGGAAACCATGTATTGTCGATCATTTGTGGGCTCCTTACGATCTTTATCATTCGTCTGAACATTCTTTCGAAGAATGATCGAGAAGTAAAGACTTGTGATATGTTTGGTGTGGAGGATTTGATAGTATTAAACTATATCAAAGAAGGAAAAAAAAAAAGTCAAAATTATGTTGTCATTTGTGTATGTACCAAACATGGAATTGGAGAGTGGTTTTATGGGGGTGACAAGTAATTAAGGGAAAAATAATTGTGATTTAGTAATGAAAAGAAAAAAATAATAATAAAAAGGAAAGTATTAAATAGTTTTGAAAAAAGGAAAAAAAATCTAGAAATATATTTAAATATTCTTGATAAATTTGCTAAAATTTGTTGCTTCAATCTTAATTATTATTTTTTTTTCATATTGTTTTAAGGATCCTATCCCTCCATTTTGTTTATAAATATGCTTGTATCTCGATCGATAAATAAAGTTAGAACCACTTAAGAAAGTTGTAATTTGAAATTTAGGACTTTGTATTAATTAAAATATAATCAATTATAAGTAATTTTCAACAATTTATTTATAAAATTAATTTTTTTTAATAAGCATATTTTAAAAATAAGTTAACTTTCGTTAAAAAAATTACTAGGTGACACTAAACTCGGCATCACATTACATGTATATAAATTAAATAATTGCTGAAAAATAATTTAAAATTACAAATGAATTTTTTTTAGTTCGTAAATTTAATTATTAACAAAAAGATCGTCTATAAATAAAGTAAACAAAAACTTAAAATCATTAATGTCAGAAAATTTTGTCGATCTCCACGAGATGTACACTAGAGATCAGATGGAGTCCAGCATATATACATTAGCATTCTGCACATTCTAAATTGCATTTTTTAACTCAGAGAACCATTCTTGATCTACAAACGCCCAGATGACCAAGCTTTCTTTGAAATATCTTCAGAACAAATATCACGCCTCGAATGCATCCCGGGATTCACTATTTCAAGAATGTTCTAGTGTCCTGTCTCGACGTCACGTGATCATGCGAGCCTGAGAACTGTGACCGCCATTAATGCTGCTATTCTGAAGTAGATATCTTTTAAACTTCTGTCGAGATTATTCAACATTTCCTCTTCTTTTAAGGCCAACTTTCCAGAATTCTTGCTAATCGAGATAACCGTATCCCGAAGTTTATGGATAGCCCAAGAAAGCCAAACCAGTCCCAATCCTAAACCCGTGTTCAAAAGTTTGGATGCACAAAAGGGGACTCGACCACAAGCAACTTTGCAGACAACGGAGAAAAGAACGGCAATACCAGTCCCAGCAATGCTTGCAGAAAATTGGGTTAGAAGATGGGGTAGTTCAGGACCAGATTTCTTCAATGAAAAAATTGCAGTTTTTCCGTTGTGCTTCCTATCGGCCATTATGGACAGAAGACTTTCGCATGCAAAAATGTATTTGTTCCCGTAGAGATTCCTTTCTTCACCGGGTTTTCTATTGCTCTTTTTCTTATGTGATATTTTACCCTTTACTTTCTCAGGACTGTAAGCGATTTAACACGTGTTAGAAGTAAAAAGGATACTCGTATGCAGGATAACTAATCATAAAGTTAACGAATAAGAGTCAACACGGATTTCAATTTTTGATGTAATATCTCAATTACATCTATTGTTATAATTTAGTTTCTCTTACTAAAGACAGCCGAATATTGCCGAATAACTTGAAGAAAAGCAGAAATATGTTAAAGAAGGGATAAAAATGTGAGAGAAAACCGCTTCGGAGAACAGGTGTGTACTTAAAAGTTGAAACCTAGTACTCGACAATACTGGATAGAATCACGAAAAAAATAATTTAACTTCTTTTCCCTCACTAATATTATACAGTGCTATCCACCAACCAAAGATGCAGTAAGTGAACTTCATGCATTGAGTCCCAATAAATTGATAATGCGGGTATAGATTCAGGTGCTAGAGAAAATCAATAATCATAATTCTGAGGTGTATGTGTGTGTGTGTGTGTATAATTAGAAAGACATGTTTATGTCTTTTATGCATGGTTGCACTTCCACACATCTTCAAAAGTGGTCTTAGATCATGAAGGAAGATGAGGATTTAGTTTGGAAATATCCCACATCTGCCAGATAACAATTATGCAATCTAATGACTAACTATAAAGGCAAGTGCATAGATGTATACTAGTCCAAATCAGTTACCCACGAGAGCAGAAAATGTATGGTGATGCTTATATGAAACAAAGGCCAATTACTTTAGCTTGTTTCTCACACCCTTCGTGAACCTCAAATTGATAGTGCATTAATTGGGATTTCTAGTGCCCCGACAAGAGTGGTTAAATCGTACTTGAACTACGGAAGCGGAAGATTGAGATAAGAAAATTAACTTTACTTGATTTGAAGGTGAATCTTACCTGTAAAGAGGTGCAGTTTTTACAGTTTCAAGCACTGACTTAGCACTTGCTCCTCTTCTCCTTCTGTTCAAAGAAATGAATACAGGGAGATTCTATCAGACTAGTACAAAATATCATTTCATTAAAGAATTAAAGGATAAATTAAGAAACTGTGAGTCATCGACCTCTACTTTGAAAAGGAACATCGGTACAATAAATCAAGTGATGTTAGAATTTAGTAATATGCGAGATATGAGATGCACCTATGCATTACAATAGGCCAAACTATACAAACATTTAACATTTCAATTTATCTTGTTTCTTTCAAATCTCCTAAAACACTTGCCAATGAACAGAGTTTTCTCCATCACAATGAATACAAACAACGAAATCAATGTTGTCTACACCATGAAAGGAACATCAAATCACGAGAACTAGGCCTGAATTTTTTAGATCTTTGAACTTAGAGAAATTCTCAAAGTTCAACATGGAAAATTAAAATGAATAAGCAAATCCACATTTTGAAGTTCGCTGATATTAGGCTTTATTATGAACAATTCAAATTCCATTGATTATGGGGGCCAGGAACATAAAAGGTACCTTGTCGTAATGTTTTAACTAATGTGTTTAGAAATGCATAAAGAGAACAAACATGAATGAGAAAAAATGTAACTCAAACTTCTTCCATAAATTAGATCTTAAGTTGGATCATTAACATTATTAACAATTGACATCCACAAGATCTTATTGAACAGCATGATGCATTTGTCTCATTTCTTTTGTATCAGAACATTTTGTTCAAATAGTCAATTTCCTCGTACAAATGCATGTCATAGAAAAAGTTGCCGTTAAACAAACAAAGACAGCTCAATACCTCTCGAAGAAAGGGACCAGCATTGATTGCTTACTCGACTTGACTGTGCTCTTTGACAAGTAAAACTCAGCAATAACAGAAAGTACATAGTTCATGTCAACAGAACCAGCAACTGAGAGTTGGCCATCAGAATGATATGTGATTTCTGAACTGCCTAAATCCCCCTTCACGTCCACCATAGGGTTCTCGAAGTACAATTCCCGGGTTGGATATATAAGAGATTGCTGAGACTCGGCATCGCTAAAATGCCATCTATGATAAGGAGCAAATGGCTCTTGAGATAAATCTGTAAACAGCGCACCAGGCCCGATCAAGTTCAGAAGCATAGACAAGTTTAACAAACCACCTTCTACTTCACTCGATCCAGATGTGAGTAACTTCAAGATCTTCTCCTGCCTTGCGCATTTGTCAGCAATCCCAAAGCCAAACGGTATTGAGTTTGAATTAGTATCTGTCATTAAAATAAACATGGAATTACTTATGTGAATATCAGAAAGAGTACAAGAATATGCAAAGTCGGGAACGATAATTTTACCGGAATAATTATTTCAGTAGCATAGATAACCTTGTGATATTATTATACAACATCTAATATAGCAAAATAAAATTCGATGGTAATAGTGTGGTATTGTGTGGAGCCTAATTATATAGTTCCAAACTGCAAATCACCTTTCATGGTAAGGTTGGTTGATAGGTGGAGGATTGCAGGGTTGATTGGCCCCCTGCTTTGGGAGCAGGAACGCAGGAACCATTTTATTTTTTTTTTAGTTCTAGGTTATTTTGGGCATTCATCTCTCTGTCTTTTAAGGAGTCTGAGGGGACCCTTTTTGTGTAGTGTGAGAAGTCAAAACAAAGAGCTGTGAGAATTCCATTATATAAAATTTCTCATGATTACAGTAAAACCTGCAGCAGCGAGCGGACGTAACTCGCACATTGAGGGTAAACCACTATGAATCTTCGTAATTGTGTGTGGATTTCCTATTCTTGTTTGTTTATTATTCCTCTCAGGTTTGGGTTTGGGTTTAATCCGCAACATATACAACGGTACTGCTTTGCATTTGCAGATATGCACAGTTGATGTGAAGATTTGATAGGCATATATCATCAGTAAAAAGCAGAGAAATTAGTACAGATATGGACCTTGAACATCAGTGGTAACAGGTCTTTTAACAGTTGAGTCAACCCTGAAAATTTGGTCACTGTCCAAAGGCCCATTTATGGAATTCCACTCCTCTCTTTGATGCAGACTTATATTGATAGAGTGCGACTGAGATTGATCTTGTTTCACTCCAATATAGGGAGGAAAATGAAGATGATCCTGAAACATAAAGAAAAAGAGAGAAGAAAACTTAAAATTGGATACAGCTGTAAGGGGAAGCATCAACGAAAGTGAGCATAATGTATTGCTAACAATATGCTGTCCATCTGAACTTGTGGTCGCAGTCAGGGGAAGATTCACGAATTAAACTATAAAGCAAACATCCTCTGAGAATACGAAAGCATGTCCAAACTATTAAAGTATAATTTACAAATTGCATTAACTAAAAAGTCTATGGACTTTCTAAATTATCTTCAACATTTTTCTTATAATCTAAAATGCGTATATAACAGAACCAATGATCATGTCTTCAAGGCATGTTTGGTGGGTCCAACTAACCATTAGTGATTCCCTCTCTGGTATAAATGATTCTAGTAACTTAACAAAATATCATCTGCCAAATTAATTTATTGTCTTGAGAACTTCCACAGGCAAAAATGCACGCTCTGCTCGGGGAGTAGCTTCTAGAAAAGTTAAAACGAGCCAGATCACCCTATGAAGAAGGGTATAAATATCTGCCTACTTAGTTCTTTTAAAAACTTCACACAGCTTATAATCATAAACACTTCTTTCCATGTGAGGACTTCAACAACTATCAAGCACGAACTTCCAATTAAAAGTTCAAATCCAACTAAAATTACCATGCCATTTATAAGAAAACCTTCTCACCCCAAATTTAGAATTAATACTAAAAGCCAAAAGACGATAGGAAAAAGCAGATATATGAAGAATTTCTGTTAGAAACATATGCTAAATAAATGAAGTCTAAAGAAAATTGAGAAAGGACCGTTATTTTTTCCAAAAATTGAAGAACCTCCAAATGCATTCCTTAGCTTCATCATAAAGTCTAACCATAAAGGCACAATACACTGATGAAAACAGAAACAGAGAGTTCAACTTGAAAATAAACAATTTTCATAGAATGGTCTTGGTGACCCGAAAAGGCACCCGAACAAGTGTGTTATATGTTCAGACTAGTGCGTAGACTCAAAGAGGCTCAGCTCAACACAGAACAATAATAAATCATTCAACGTCAATAAACCCAATTCAGTTATCACAAGAAGCAATTAATTGAAATGAATTCACAATAAATTTAATCAACCCAGATAATAAACCCAACAAGAGAATTAATTTCTAACCTTGGATATTCTAGCCATGCCCACTTGTTCGTGATGGAAGATGAGGCCAGGAGGGTAGCCATGTGAAGCCATCAAGCAAATCTCAACCATTTCCGAAACCCAGATTCAAAAACCCTTAAAAGTTTCTGAAACCAAATCTCTCTTTTGATTTGTTCAATGAATCATATCATCTTCATCTTATCCTCCTCGGCACCTCAAATCCCCCCACCCCAGATTTTTATTCTAAAATTAGGGCCCCACTTTAGAAAGGAAAGGTCAGAACTAAAACTGGGAAATCTGAGAATCAGAATTTTATGTGGACCTAAATCAATAAACGGATTTGTGATCCAGGTTGGCATCCTGGATTCAGACAAAAAAAGTATGTCGACTTGTTCTATGTTGGATTCTTCTCTGTGTTTTTCTCCACCTCAATAACGCGATCTGTCGGATTATCCCAGCCGTTCATTGTTTTAGTTTTGTTTTCTGATTATCTTCTCGTTTGAAAATGCGCATGTTCGGTAGATATTAAAATCGGATTAAAATTGAAAAATTAGTCATTATTGTTGATTTTTATTAGACAAGTGGGACCCAATAACGACTATATTTTTAATTTTAATCCGATTTTGAGCTGTACCAAAGAAGCTCTCGACATGTTTGCTGCAGCTGTACCTCATAAATTCACTAGTTCTTGAAACGGGAATTTGGCTTAGTCTCTGTTTCACCTAGTTATTTGGCGTTAGAGCTTGTTTGAGTTTTGTTAGTGTACAGTGCATTTTGGAATAATTAATTGATAGAGAATGTATGATTAAAATATAAAGAAAAATTTTAAATTTGCGTGTAATATTATTTTATTGAAAAATTTATGATTTAAAAAAAGTGAAATAAAAATGTATTTTAGAAAAAATTAGAATCAAACGAATGGCTTAAATATATTTTATTTTTCTCTCTCCTTATCAACCATATATTTTTTAATAAAATAATCATACACGTAAACTCTGAAAGTTTTTCTTCTTTATAACCACGCATTCTCCAAAAAAATATTATTTCTACTTTTATAATGTTAATAATGAAGAACAAACGGGAGCTTAAACTCCCGGTCAAATTATTAAACTAGAGACTAAGCCCCTATTTGGTGGAAATTAAAATCAAATTTTTAGTGAATTTTGATAAAAGTTAATAAAATTTGTGATTGATTCCACAAAATATGTGGTTAAAATTAATTATTGACTTTGATTTGAATTAAAATTTCAATCTGGGTTAAGCTGTCTAATTCATCTTAGTAGGAAGTTAAAAGTTTATTATAGTTGTGTTGGATGCTACTCAAGGGTGAAAATGAATAGACAAATTTATTTATGCATGAAATTGAACATTTCAATCCATGGTGGATTTTTATGTCTTAATATTTTAATTGAATGAACACTTCAAATATTAAAATTTGCTAAAAAATTGATTAAAATCAAAATCAAAAAGCGATAAATCAAAAACTACAATCAACAAGGACTTTCATGAAAAACTCCAAAAATATGCGTACATAGACTCGGCTCATAACAAGCTCATAAGCTTCACGTGGTGATTCATTTAGGATATATTACTTTCACGATACCATGAAATAAGCTTGCTCCACGGGTCTCTAGATCATTCATTTACCTTGCAGTCAATTTTATCGAATGATCATTCTTTCAAGGCTCCACAAATTTTTACTAACTAAACTACATTTGAATTGTATGAAACGTTCATAACCTTTATACATTATTACATTTATGCCCCAAAAATTCTCATTACATTTTTATTCTAAAATTAATATAAATTATGATTCATTATGATTTCGCTCCAAAATTTTATTTAAAAAGGAGTAAAAAGACTCATTTGCTCATTGCATTTTTTTTTTAAATAAACAAAACAAATAATAATGCAAAAATATAATTAAATATTTGACATTTATTTTAAAGTACATTAATAATATTTTTGAACGAAAATCATGATTAATGACAAGATTTTCTTATTAATGAAATGTTAAAAATAAGAATGTGATGAATAAAACTGTTAAGGATATAAGTGTAATAATGAATAAAGATTAATGAAATTTAATGTAATTGGTGTATTTATAAAATTATATTGTGTAAATGTCACCACAGTTCTTTTAATCATGAAATAGATTCATTTCACTTTAGTCCTATAAAATTTGTAAAATAACAAATTAACCTCAAAACTTGTCAGAAAGCTGCAATAAATCTTCTAAACCTTAAAATAATCAATTTTAAACTTATACTAACCTCAAATAACTATTTGTCGAATATGTTCAGTTCTTGAATTTGTTTTTAAAAAATTGCATTGTCAATCCAATTGATCTTCTTAGCTAACAATGTTTTACATCGGACCGAAAGTGCTACAAAACATTGTTAGCTAGTAATAAAGTAAATGCTTTTCATCCACTAAGGTTCGAAAGTGCTACAAAACTTAAAAAACTTGAAATGATGTTGTCAAAAAAATAAACGAGAGACTAAATTACTGCAATGCTGATACTTTGATGATTATTGTGCAATATAATCATATTGTTATTATTATTATGCAACTTCAAGATTCATGCTTCGAGCACAAACGTCCTACATAAAGTGCTTGAAGCAGTTTATATAGTGTCTATCATGCGGTTTTCAATCACAAATTCTAGGGCCCACATTACACCCACACCATACAAAAAATGGAGAAGAACTTCAATGAGACAATCATATATTCACCCGTGGTAGGATCGTTCATTTAAATAAAGAAATTCGGATCTCAAGCCACTCAAATTGTGAAACCTTGACTTTCAAGAGAGAAACAAACTATTTGTGTGATGTTGACGTGTTGCAGTGACTCGAGGCTGAAATATCGTCACTTGAATTGATGATCTTATCACGTGAACACATAGGACCAACCTATCAAAACTTATCTCCTATCAACAATGTCACCTGAATTGTCCTCAATAATGATCCTTATACACTACATCCTAGCTGTACGATCGAAATCTGGTGTTCAGCTTTCAATCACACTATGGGTACACGCTAACTTACCCGGCGCTTTACATGGTTACATGGCAGTGTATTTTGAATTCAAATTGAATCGGCCCATTTAAAAAATCGAAAAATGAACGGCCCAATAACAAAACCACTGCTCTCTTTGCTTTAATTCATTTTCCCCCAAATCAGAAAGGAGAGCCCTAGGAGGCCAAATCGTCATTCGAAGTCAAGCACTCACCCATCTCCACCGAAGTAAGCATCCAATTGTCCGGAAAAACTCAGCCATCGCTTCCGGCAGAGTGTCACAGCAAGCCTTCACTTCCAATTTCCCTCAAGTCGCAGTGGACAGTTGTAGTTTTACATTCCAGCCTTCGCCTCCGACGATATTTCGAATCGAAGAAAACTTTATGTAAGCACATCGCCATTTTCGATTTTGCTCAATGTCATTGTTTTAGTGATGCACGCTTACAGATCTATTTGAACTAAGATTTTGATTTTTTTTACAGTGATGTGAGAAAATCAGTTTTGGGATTCGGTTTTGGGATTTTAATATCTGAATAGCTTTATTTTTATACCACATTACTGTGAGTTTTGAGTATCTGTGTGTACCTCACTGTAGTTTTACAATTGATTGTGGTTGTTGGTAAATGTGGATATTTCCTTGTTATGTATGCAATATGCTAGGGAAGAACTCCGGTATATGTCATATTTGTCGCCAAAAAGGTCATTTCTTTGCGAATTGCATGAGAAAACGGCACTGCCCATGGTGTAAAGTAGGCTTTGTGAAGTGCTTTGAGATCGAGAAGGATACGAAGAACAAGGGAAAACTGTTCAATTGTTGCAGTGCTAACTGCAAATATTGGGAATGAGTTGAAAACGGGGAATTAAGTGGTGGGGAACCAAGCGGGGGATCAAGTAGCGGTACCGTGAATTCAAATAATCATGCGGCGGTTGATGAAGATGAACACTTGTCTCGCCAGTTCCATACTCAATGTCGCGTAACCGAAGACAAACTGATTGATATTCAATTGACGGTGACAATATGCAAGGCCAGCGAAAGTGTAGAAGTGGCTAAGAAAGGGAAGGGACTAGCATGATTAGTCTATCATGTTGGCATCAGTTTCACGCCCTGCATATTGTGATGTGTAGTATGTGTTTTTTTTTTTAATGTAGTCTTGTTGGTATGTGCAGTTGGTGTTAGTTGGGTAAATGTAAGGTATGCGGAGGATGTTGGTATGGAGAATGAGCAAGTGGGTGACTGTAATATAGGAGAATTTAGTATAGGCTGAGGATGTCTGTAATGTATTTTCACAACTATCTGAGTAATATCAATGCAGAATTCTCAAATTAGCTGTTTGCACATTGGTTTACTGGGTGACTGTTTGGGTGCTCCTTCATTTGAGTTCAATAAAGAATGCTGGACTTAAGAATGGTAATTGAGACATGATGTAAAGCATGTTGGACATTAAGAAATGAACTGAACCTGTACTTATGAACCTGTCATTTACCATTAGTTGCTAATAACTGAACAGTTTAGTCGTTCAATCAATTTCCATTGAAACGAAACACAAGATAGAAGTATAAAAACCCATGAAACACAAGTCAAACTCATCTAATAACATCAACTGTATAATTGAATTTGTTTCAGTAAATACAACCATAGCGTAAATGAAGTACATGCTTCAATTGTTAAACAAGAATTAGACAACAGAAATTAAACAATGAACTACATGCTTCCATTCCCTAATTGATAATGATGTTTCCACTGTTCCACATGATGCTTCCTCACAAGTTTGCACCACTTTCGTGAGGTACAGATGGATGATAGTACGACATTAAGTTTCCTACATTAGTGATGATAAGAGTGTTAAAGAAACTAGAGTACGACTTCAAAGAAATTCTAAAATGATTAACGCATACCTTGATCGTGTACGATCGGTACGACACCTCCCACGCCATCTTGGTGAGGTATATTTTGATAATAGTAAGGCATTGCGTTACCTACTGGGAAATAATAAAAGTATTACTCAAACTATAGTGTGACTTAAACGAGATTTTTTTCAATGATTAACACATACCTTGATCAGTAGCATGTATGATCGGCGCAACACCTCCCAGTTTACTTGGGCATGTCTTCCGTCCCCTTCGTGTATTGGAAGTCGAATGTGACTGCATAATCAACGGATAATTATTGGTCAACCGCATTGTAATTTAAAAATAAAAAAATTACACGACATGTACCCTATACCTTAGCTCTACTGGAAGCTGTTTCCAAGGGGCTTTTGTTTCGAAGTTTTTTCGGGGCACCTTTCCTCTTTGAGCATTTTGGGTCCTGTATGACTGCATTGCCGTTATGTTTTGACATTATATCTTCCGAAGATAGTTAGACTACATGTTGGGACACGTCATTGCTTCCGTATCTCGACCGAGTCTTATGAAATGATTGTTTCTTGCTTTCTATCCACTGTAGTACATCACGAGTTTCATCGTCATTCCCTGTAGCCATGTCCGCAAGTGAAGCAAATGATTGACACATTTTATCATATCTCAACTGGGCAGGGGTGCTACTCAAACCATCATACTTCACTGCGACCTTCGTGTGGACTCTACTAACATCCCTTCGCCATCTTCGTTATATATAGGTATCCGGTAATGCAATGACATTGTTACGGATGAGTATAGCGATCGCGTGCCTGCAAATTATACCTTGAAACTCAAACAAGTGGCAACTACAAATAATTTCGCAACTCTGTCTTTGAAATGTTACGAAAAACTTCTATTTTTTAACTCGATTTTCAAGTATGATATCCTCCAATACCTCATAACTCGTCCCCGAACATCCCTCCAACGAAGATATGAGTTGCAATAAACCTTTCTGACGAATTCGTCCTGAACTTCCCGAAATTTTGAAATGGTATAAACTCTTTGAAACCGTTTCTCCAACTCGTACTTCGTTGCGGATGGAACCATTTGTGAGTATGATTTAAAATCTGCTTGAAACTCCTTCTCTACCTTATTCCTTAGTGCTCTCTCGTATTGTTCAATAAATTGTTTCAACGACGTCTTCGAGTGCACATA